TTAGCCTGCCTAAGGCCAGGTTTGATCTCAGAATAACAAAACAAAACAAAATAACAATAGTAAAAAACCTCCCAAAACAAACAAAAAAACAACTCCTCAGTTTCTTAGCTGGATGCAGTGGCCCATACCTGGGATCCCAGCTTCTCTGGAGGCTGAGGAAAGAGGATCCCTGCCTTGAGCAACACAGGGAGACACCCATCTCCTAAAAAAAAAGAAGAAACCTCTTCTTTATTCTACTTAATCTTTCATTTTGTTTTCCTTTTTAATTTACCACCAATGTATTGTCATTAATTTGGTTTCACATAATTTTGAAAGCATTGTATATGTTATACAGATTTACCACAATTTATTAATCTATTGTCCTGTTTCAGAGAAGCAACAAATGAGCATAACATACTTGGTTGAATCATCATGATAGCAATCTAAATCTTCATATTTCCCATAGTACCTAAAATAAAAGTAGAAATACTATATGTATGTTAGGGGTTAGGAGTAGGGACACAAACATTTATTCCTTAACAGACATTTACCTAGAGAAATGAAAACATGCCCAAATAAAAATTGTACAGGAATGTTCATAGCAGAATTATTTATAGTAGCCAAAAAGTAGAAATAATTCACATGTCTATCAACTGATAAATGGATAAATAAAAATGTATGGCCATACAGTGAACTATTATGCATCCATATGAAATAAAGAATGAAGCATCTGTATATGTGGCAGCGTGAGCATGGAAAATGTTATGCTAAGTGAAAGATGCCAATTATGGAAGACCTTTTATTGTGTAATTCCACTTATGTGGTATGTCCAGAATAGCAAAATCTATAGGAACAAAAGGTAGGCTATGATTGCTGAGGGCAGAGAAAGGATAGAGGTGCAGAGAGGAAGAAACTGAAAATAGGTAAAGGTCTTTGGGTGGATAAAAAAATGTTCTAGAATGTGGTATATGCCTATATCTCTGACTATACTAAAAACCATAGACTTGTATGCATTAAATGTGTGAATTGCATGGTGTGTGAAATATGTGTCACAAAAGCTGTTATTAAAAGTTATCTCTTTACCAATTAGCACATGCCACACGGACCTGGGCTTTGATACCCCAGCTAGAGGAGGTTCAGAGTGAATGCATAATGAATCCAGGCAATTAGGGAAGACACTCAGTTCTTTAACTAGTATCTTTAACTAGAAATGGGCAGTGGGCCAGATAACCTTGAAAAATCTCTTTCTGGTTCAAGTATGAAGTTCAGTTGAGTTTTTTTCGTGGGTACTGTTTTGCTATCCATAAATTTATAAATGTGTTTTAAAATGGGTATTGTTTTCTCTTTGCTTTTTCTAGTTATCAAGTGCTTGATGGAAAATCTTGAGAAAGAGGTAGCTCAAGCTGAAAATTCCTTGCTTCAGGCAGTGGCATCGTTTCCAAAGTATGGGTGAGTTCACTGTATAACAGGAGCCCTGCAGAAGTTACCACTAAAGCAATAACATCCACAGCCGCCTCTCCTCTCAGAAGCACACTTAGGCCCCAGCTTTCACCTCTTATCAGTGTGTCCTGGGAATGGAATGTAGTCTGCTGCCTTAAAGAGAATAGAAAATTAGACTTATAAATCTGTTTATACTTTTTTGTGTTTCAAGTATTTCATGTATAACCCAATTTTGAAACACATTCTTTAAACTCTTTTTATGTATCAATTTCCATTATTAATATTTGTTTTTTGCTTTTCATATAAGTGTCCCTAATGTCCTTGTTGCAGCAGCCTGCAGTTGGTGAGTGAGTGGAGACTTTTGGTGGAGAAACTCCTGTCCATGTCCTACAGGCTTTCTGCTGT